TAAACCAATTTATTGTTACTATTAAGGTCGTTTGAGGATCTCTTCCTCAGGGGTCACATGGGCTTGGGAGGAGCCCCTGGCTCCTTTCTTTTATCAGTTCCACCTATGTGAAGATAAGTCAAAGGTCCTGCTCGACCATGGCTGGCTTCGCTTGGAAGCATGGAAGAAATGTTTCCTCTGTGTTGACCCTCCTCTTTGTAGACTGGACACTGGTTCAAGTCCATCTCATGGGGTCTCCTCGGCCTCCTTGATCAGGAGGACCCACCACAATTACAGGACATTTTGAGAGATGCTCATAGTACCCTGGAACTAGTCGACCTAGGAGGGCAAGGAGCAAAAACTGTCCTTTATGTCCCTCTGACCAAATTAGTATAGGCCTCAAAGTATGTCTGTTAAACATCCAAGAAGTTTATTCCACCAGTCTGGTACTTTAATTACTGTGTGCTACATAGATAAATCTTGGGCAAAGACGTATTGTTCTCAGATAAACCTTACCTAGACATATATTTCTTGATCTGGTATGTATAATTTGTCAGTAGGACTAATATGATGCCCTCTGGTTTTTAAAACTAGCTAGGCATTATTTATCCCTTGCTTGTCTAACCCTTCCATCATGGTTTCCCCAATTAAGGTGCCCCCATTTTCCCACTTTCTCTCTTGATAATACCCTTCTCCTATGGTACTACTGTATTAGTTAGGGTTCTCCAAAGAAACAGAACCAGTAGAATGAATATATATGTATAGAGATTTATCAGCTTAGCTCACAGGATAGAGTCTGAGTAGTCCAATAATAGCTGCATCACACTGGAGAGGCTGAGAATCCGTAGTTGCTCAGTCCACAAGGCTGGATGTCTCAGTAGTCCCAATCTGGTGCTGAAGGTCTACGAATTCCAAAAGATCAGCTAGTCTTCAGTCTACAGTGGCAAGACGAACTTGCCAGCGAGAGAGAAGACAAGCAGCAAGAAGCCAGGTGTTCTCCTCTGCCATGGCCTTTTATACGGGCTGCCATCAGAAGGTAACGCTCACATTTAGGGTGTGTCTTCCAGCTTCAGATGACCTAATCAAGAAGATCTCTCTTATTTCAGTTAATCCCAGATCCAGTCAAATTGAGGCCCAGGATTAGCCATCACACCTACCTCTCTTGAGCTCCTTCTTTCCCTTTATCCCCTAGGTTCCTTATATACCCTTCCCTCCCCCCTCCCTTAAAATAACCCAATTTTTATCCATATCTCCCTTATTAAGGCCTGCTTCCTACTGTTCTTCTCTTTCAGGTTCTTCACTTATAACAGCTTCTAGTTCCATCCATTTACCTGCAAATTTCATGTTTTCATCTTTCTTTACTGCTGAATAAAACGCCATCATATAAATGAACCACATTTTCATTGTCCACTTATCAATTGAGGGACACTTAGGTTGCTTCCATCTCTTAGCTATTGTGAAAAGACCAGCAACAAACATGTATGTAGAAGTGTCTCTGCAATAGGATGAGTTCTTTAGGTATATGCCAAGGAGTGGTATAACTGGGTCAAAAGGTAGGTTCATTTTCAGTTTTTTTTTAATTATAAATTCTTTTTTTATTTA